GATGGGTTTTATGCGATTGTTTGATTACATAGAAGGCGAGCGAAGCTGATGACTCTTTTTAGCTGTCGTCTAGTGCTTTCTGCCTTTTTCCAAGGAAATATAGTCGGCAGATGAGCTCGACTGAGTTTCTCGCCACCTTCGAAATGGTCTGAGCAAATTCGAGTATTTGTGGAGTCCAATTTTAGCGAATCATTCTTCAAAATGACTTTGTATTGCTTTCTGGTAAACTCATCTTTCGGTAATCTGTAGAAATGCAGATGTGAAGCGTTCCTAAAGCTGTTTGTACAGCCAGGAACGCAACAATTATAGTGAGGCATTTCAGAATTACTTTGTAAATATGACTCGTCTGTCCCTTCAATCAATCCATAGATGCTTTGCGGTCCCAACTCGAACCCAATCCCTGACTCGTTTAGAACATGGTGAATGGTAAAGTTTATTCTCATTAAATCCCCTGATGAGTGGGCGACCACGAACCAGGCTTGTAGGGATGAACTTGTAGTTTACTTGTCTTTTTCCTCCCACAATACATACATACATACATACATACATACATACATACATACATACATACATACATACATACATACATACATACATACATACATACATACATACACACACTTGTTTACATACATACACTCATACATTCATATACGTACAGTTCTTTTATTTGGATGTCAAAGGAACCATTAATTATCTATTTCTTCAGCGCGAATTACTAGCTAAGGTGCTACTGCTTTGTCCTTGCATTTCTTATGACTTATGCATGAAATTCAAACTTGAAGGTTGCTACGCCCCCAATGGTTTCCACACCGAAAAACCTGTGATTTGTGCTCTGTCCGTGGACAACAGGATACTGACCGTGTTCAAGGAGGAAAGTGGAGAAGAAATTGAAAATGTTGAAGTTAAACTCTTTGAAGGTGGAATGTTTGTTTATGACCTGCACACGAGTGGCCACGATTACGTCACGGACGAGCTCTGGGCTGCGTTTTATAAGATGCTGCTGGAAAAGAGATTGGTGCCAAGGATTGTTTTGTCCCCTGGGAGCCCAGGCTTTTACTGGATAAGGAACTTTGTGACGCCTGGTAAGTTCGAAGATGTTGTCACCTTCAACCTGATCTAGATACAAAAGGGCACAAATACTAGCATATCCTGGGCATGCAGGTTTTAGGAGATGCCAATTTTCAATGTCAAATTGGAAAGTTTGGGTAAGTGAATGTTTGAATTGGCTCAGAGTTTGCTGAACGATAATACAAATCTCTGTAGATGAAAAAACTAAGACTCACTCAAGGTGTTTAGTGTAGCTTATTATCATCTTGATCCAAACAAGTTTTTGCTCTTTATTTACTGGCAGATACGAGCCTTCCCTATCCAGAGAAGTGGGAACTACACACGGGCATTGTTCCCAAACAGGAAGATGTTTTCGACTACCTCCCGACAAGCACAGCCATGTGGCAGGAATCTACGGAATTTATTACCCTAACAACGGAGAATGTTGCTGGTTTTCAGTTCAGTGATTTTAAGGTATGTAGCTGTTATTTTTCTCTTGTTTCTCGGTATTTAAGATTTCTTTGGCGAATTAGAAAATTTATCTATGACAGTCAAAATTTTAGGATGTTAAATATATACGTGACATTAATTGTGATTGCGGGGAATGATTTGTAAAACAAAGATTATGTAATAAAAAAAAAATAGGTCACCGTGCGCCTTCAAGAGCTTAAAACCATCGTACATATTTGAAACAAGACAAAAGTAGACAGCGAGTTGCGGGAGCTTGCACTCTGAGACTTTTTGAAGTTAAAAACACCTCGTAAGCATTTGTTACGCGTTCGATTTTCGTGTGTGCGAGTTTTTCAGTATTTCAGCATGGCCGAGTTGTTACGGTAAGGCTGGGTTAGTAAAACCCAGGCTTACTATGAAATTTGAAGGCTTTAGAAAAATATCTAGTGGATTATATTTCTTTTTGTGTAGAATGTGATTATTGGATAATCTTCAAAGAAAAGAGAAAATTATCCCGAAAAGCATATGTATGCATTCGAGGAAGGGAATAAAGAAAAATTAAAATTTAACCTTGGGTTAGCGCTTATTGGCCTTCGAACAACAAGGCCCCAGCAGTTTTGGGCGAGTCTCTTTTGAGTGGTTTATTCATTTTGGTCTAAGAGTTCACCGCGTTTCTGTTTGGTATTTTTTTCCCCTGTTTTTCGAAGATTTTTCGTTTCCGCTTCTAACCACGCCCATTGATTGAGAAAAACACTGAACTCGCCATTACGCCAATTCGCTCGTTTTCAGTAAGCAAGAGCCCAGCACAAGCTAAATTATTATGAGTCAAGTAAGATTCCTTCACTGCATTTTTTTCCCAAGGACGCCAGCATCGTTGAGGAGAAAGAAAAACGAACGAAACAAATGGCTGGCACAGCTATTGAACAACTCCAACTCGAACTGAAGCTTCTGCACGGAGACGACGAACCAATCAAGGCAGCCTTGGTAAAAAGACTAACGTGGTCAATCAAGGAGACGGTGAAGGGCATCCTCGATGGTGCACAGCCTACGCTAGAGACCGTGAAGGAGCTTACCGACATGGACAAACTTGCTTTTAGACTCCCAGAAGTGAAGAGAAGTGACAAGAGTAAACAACAGTACGCAGC